CGTAATCATCAGCATGCTTTTGAGTATATTATTATTGCTTATTTCGCACGGTACCTCAAGAAGAAATGGATGTGTACTATTGAGCACAAGCTTGCTCAATGAAGATTAGATTAGGGTTTAGGTAGTAGCGATGAGAATTGGGGAGCCAGCCCATGCCCATTGAGATCTTGATCTTGACTGATCCCCAATCTACAGATTGAAAAAGTGAATTGTTTTTGACAAACGATAATATCAAGTGAATTGACAAGAAGTTTTGTGTAGACCAAGTTGGTCTAAAGGCTAAAGCAGAGCTGATCATATGATATAATCCAATCATGAAAAATGGCAAGGGCGGGAGCAATTGTCCTCCCTTCATTCCTGCTCAAGATTGTCAAACCAGTTTAAGTTATTCTCCTCCCTTCATATATCTATTAAAAACTTATTTTTCACAAAATAAATCTATCTAAATTTCATGATCCACCCACCATCTCCCTTCCTTCGTTTCGGGGTTCCTGCCTTTCGCACCCAACTTCCTTTCCTTTATGTCAAATGCAATCTATTTAACTGTTTTACTTTGAAAAAGGCACATGGTCCATGGTTAACTTTGGAAAGTCTGTGATGATCAAAAGATTTAGTGTTTGAATCTTCACGACTTGCAATATTTATGAGTTAATTTGAACATATGGTTTAGTGGACTCATCCAAACTTTAAACTCATGACATGAGTGAGTTTCATTCAAAAGGGCTGTAACGAAATTATGTAAGAGTTATTTTGAAATCTCTTTCTAAAATCTTGAAACTATTTAGTTCTTGACAAGATAAAGATTTTGCATCTCCATTCCTAACCGTTTTCAAACATTTGCAGCTCACACATCTACCAAAAATGAATCTAAATTTAAAACAATTAAGTTAAAAACTGTCGAAACCGGGCTGCTCAATTAGTACGATATTGTCCGCTTTGGGCCAAACCCGCACGGTTTTACTCTTGGGTGTCCTCCCCAAAAGGCCTCGTAATAATGAGCTTGGTGGACACTAATATACAAGGGTTCCTTCCCTTGTATTTCCGATGTGGTACTTGGATTGTCCCATAACAATCCTCCCCTCAAGCCAAGGACCACGAACTTCGTGTCCTCACCTTAGCGATTATCTTGATCTGCCAGACACCTTGTATCGATGGGCTTCTCGGTAGAAGGATTTTCCCAGACGCGAAACTCTCTTTGATCCGCCAAACAGACGTGGATCTCTCCACCAGACAAACGCGGACCCCCCTCGATCCGCCAGATGAGCCCAAACGTGGATCTCTCATGGATCCACCAAACCAGACGCAGATCGCAAATCCCGAGGTCACCGAATGAGGATCCACCAAACTGACGCCCACCACCCCGCACCGAACCAGGCTCCGATACCACTGCCTCGGAGACTGCTTAAGTCCGTGCGGCGTCTTGAGGTGCACTCATTCCTCAAGACCAGCCTCTCTGCATACGCATGCCAACTGGTTTCGCCCTACCTTGGGCTCATCAGGGAGACGGCAATAGCCTCCGACCAGTTGTGCCTTCTCTTGCAACGATCCCTTTCATAGCCATATCCTGACTCGGCCAGATGCGATGCACAGGCAGACAACGCCTTATCGCTAATGTCGCCCCCTTTACACTTCTCATGGCAAGACAACCAGATGGCAGCGTTCTTCAGACGATCAACACGGTCACGACATTTCGGGTCGTGACATTCTCCACCACTAATAATGCAGCACGTCCTCGTGCTGGTGAAGAATGCTTCTCTCCGCAGCATGTATTGCAACTCTCTCGAACCAATTGTGGGCATCAGCATACGATACCATCCTCTGACGGACAGGCTCCGGTCGCGTTCTCGCGCTAGCCTGTTGTGCCCCGCGCACATATCGCTTCGCCCCCTCGACATCAACCTTCACTCTTTGCTTCTGCTGCGCTAGTACCTCAGTCGACCTTCACCCTACGCTACTCCCAGCATTTGTACCTCAATCGACCTTCACCCTACGCTCTCGCTAGCGTTAGTTCCTCGGTTGAATGACATTCTCTGCCGCTGCATCTTCAGCCTGTCGAGGTCCCCCACAACGGCGCAACACATGTGAATCTGCGTCCGGACCGCCTGATATGCTCACCTAGGACCGCCTCTCATTCGGGCATAGGGTCGGCCCATACACGACCTATGCCGTACTGAGAGAGGAACTAGGCTCTTCAGCCTAACCAGGCTCTGATACCACTTGTCACGGACATAGACTTCCGAAGTCCGTGCGGCGTCTTGAGGTGCACTCATTCCTCAAGACCAGCCTCTCTGCATACGCATGCCAACTGGTTTCGCCCTGCCTTGGGCTCATCAGGGAGACGGCAATAGCCTCCGACCAGTTGTGCCTTCTCTTGCAACGATCCCTTTCATAGCCATATCCTGACTCGGCCAGATGCGATGCACAGGCAGACAACGCCTTATCGCTAATGTCGCCCCCTTTACCCTTCTCATGGCAAGACAACCAGATGGCAGCGTTCTTCAGACGATCAACACGGTCACGACATTTCGGGTCGTGACATTCTCCACCACTCATAATGCAGTACGTCCTTGTGCTGGTGAAGAATGCTTCTCTCCGCAGCATGTATTGCAACTCTCTCGAACCAATTGTGGGCATTAGCATACGATACCATCCCCTGACGGACAGGCTCCGGTCGCGTTCTCGCGCTAGCCTGTTGTGCCCCGCGCACATATCGCTTCGCCCCCTCGACATCAACCTTCACTCTTTGCTTCTGCTGCGCTAGTACCTCAGTCGACCTTCACCCTACGCTACTCCCAGCGTTTGTACCTCAATCGACCTTCACCCTACGCTCTCGCTAGCGTTAGTTCCTCGGTTGAACGACATTCTCGGCTGCTGCATCTTCAGCCTGTCGAGGTCCCCCACAACGGCGCAACACATGTGAATCTGCGTCCGGACCGCCTGATATGCTCACCTAGGACCGCCTCTCATTCGGGCATAGGGTCGGCCCATACACGACCTATGCCGTACTGAGAGAGGAACTAGGCTCTTCAGCCTAACCAGGCTCTGATACCACTTGTCACGGACATAGACTTCCGAAGTCCGTGCGGCGTCTTGAGGTGCACTCATTCCTCAAGACCAGCCTCTCTGCATACGCATGCCAACTGGTTTCGCCCTGCCTTGGGCTCATCAGGGAGACGGCAATAGCCTCCGACCAGTTGTTCCTTCTCTTGCAACGATCCCTTTCATAGCCATATCCTGACTCGGCCAGATGCGATGCACAGGCAGACAACGCCTTATCGCTAATGTCGCCCCCTTTACCCTTCTCATGGCAAGACAACCAGATGGCAGCGTTCATACAAGGACTTCTTCTGCTTACAAACATAGTCTTCTTTTCCCGGAACCTCGAATCCTTCTGGCTGAGTCATGTAAATTTCTTCCTCCAACTCTCCATGTAGGAAAGCTGTCTTCACGTCTAGCAGCTCGAGCTCCAAGTCATAATGTGACACTATTGCTAGTAGCACTCTGATCACTGGTGAGAAAATCTCATTGTAGTCAACTCCTTCCCTCTGCGAGAAGCCACGTGCAACCACCCGAGCTTTAAATTTCATGCCCTCTTTAGAAGTGATTCCTTCCTTCTTCTTGTAGATCCACTTGTTTGTAACAATCTTCCTTCCCTGTGGTCGTTTGACTAGCTCCCAAGTCTGATTCCTGTCATGGGATTCCATCTCATCTCCCATTGCGGCAAGCCACTGATTAGCTTCGCCACCCGACTCGGCTTCTCTATAGGACTGTGGCTCTCCTGCATCCACTTCTTCAGCAACCTGAAATGAATACGCCACCATGTCCTCGAAGCCATACCTCTGTGGAGGTACTCCTGCAGTCGCTCTCTTCGGTCTACGGGAAGCAATAGACTGTTGAGCTCGTGCACTGGACTATGAAGTTTCTGGCTCTGCAGAGACATCCTCATCAGGTTGATCTTCTCCACCTTGGTGCTCAAACTCACTCTCTTTGAGAGTTTGCAGCTCCACCTGCTTATCAACATTCCTGCTACCTTCAACAACATTAACCTTTAACATGCGGTTAAACATAGACTTCTCATCAAATATCACATTTCTACTGAGTATAACTCGATGCTCAGAAGGTGACCAGACTCGAAATCCCTTAACTCCATCTTCGTAACCCACAAATACACCCTTCTTTGCCCTTGGGTTCAGTTTACCCTCATCCACATGATAATAAACAGGACACCCAAAAACTTTCAGTGAAGAGTAATCAGCAGGCTTACCATACCACACCTCATAAGGAGTCTTCAACTCGATACCTGTGTGAGGTCCACAGTTGATCAGGAAGCACGCCATGTTCACTGCTTCTGCCCAGAATCTTCTCTCTAGTCCAGCATTAGAGAGCATGCAACGTGCTCTCTCCAACAATGTCTGGTTCATCCTTTCTGCAATGCCATTCTGCTGGGTTGTATCTCTCACAGTCCGATGACGGGCAATCCCTTCATCCTTGCAGAATTCGTTGAACTCAAAATTATAGAACTCCAGACCATTGTCCGTTCGCAGCTTCTTGATCTTCTTCTCGGTCTGATTCTCCACCAATGTCTTCCACTGCTTGAACTTCGTGAAAGCCTCACTTTTCTGCTTCATCATGAAAATCCAAGTAAATCTCGAGCAATCATCAATAATAGACAGAAAATACCTGCTGCCTCCAATGGATTCAACTCGTGAAGGACCCCAACAGTCGGAGTGGAGGTAATCTAGTATCCCCTTCGTCCGGTGGATACCCTTCTTGGGAAACTTGCTGCGATGTAGCTTCCCAAACACACAATGCTCGTAGAATTCCAAATTCTGCATCTTGTGCCCGCAAAGAAGATCCCTCTTAGACAGAACTTGCATCCCCCGTTCACTCATATGCCCCAGTCTCATGTGCCATAGAGTGGTCATATCTTCCTGATGAACCTGAGACGATGCAGCTGCGAGGTCAAAGTCTGATATCCAGAAGTTAAAGGGGCTTCTCAGTGCTGAGTTTGAGATGAAGGATTTGGGAGCTGCTCAAAAGATCTTGGGTATGGAGATTTACAGGGACAGGTCGAAGAAGAAGCTTTTCTTATCACAGAAGAGCTACATCCAGAAGATATTGTCGAGGTTTGGCATGTCTTCAGCAAAGCCCTTAAATACTCCTAGTGCTTCAAATGTTCATCTATCCTCAGCTTATGCACCGCAATCAGAGGCTGAGAAGGAGTACATGTCGAGAGTCCCATATGCTAGTGCAGTAGGTAGCTTGATGTACGCTATGGTATGCACTAGACCTGATCTTGCACATGCTGTTAGTGTTGTCAGCAGGTTTATGATACAACCTGGGAAGAAGCATTGGCAGGCTGTGAAGAGGATCTTCCGGTACCTTAAGGGTACATCTGATGTGGGGATTAGCTTCGGAAGTGATACAGAGTGCTTGGTGTCTGGGTATTCTGACTCGGACTATGCTGGAGATGTTGACACGAGGAGATCGATGACCGGTTATGTATTCACTCTTGGGAGTTCTGTAGTGAGCTGGAAGGCAACTTTGCAGTCGGCGGTGACATTGTCTACTACTGAGTCAGAGTATATGGCGTTCACAGAAGCTGCTAAGGAGGAAATATGGTTGAAGGGACTGGTTGGTGATCTTGGTCTACATCATGATCAGGCAGTGGTGTATTGCGACAGTTTGAGTGCAATATGCTTGGCCAAGGATCAAGTCCACCATGAGAGGACTTAGCACATCGATGTGAGGTATCATTTCTTGAGGACAGAGAAGAGGATTAAGGTGAAGAAGGTTGGCACCGCGGATAATCCTGCTGATATGTTCACGAAGCCGGTTCCACATGGCAAGTTCCAACACTGCTTGGACTTGCTGAATGTCTTGAGTGGGTGACTCCGCCCTGCGGGGCATTGATGACGGGAGAGAGATAGAAGGAGCAGAATACATCAGAGATTTCAGAGGAAGAGGATTCAAGTCAAGGTGGAGATTTGTTGATGTGACTTGAATCGGACTATCAGCCGCTACGAGTGGTAATCGAGGTTCTGGGCCTGGTCTGTAACCGTATCCTTTGCCAGATTGGATTAGGTTTAGACCCACATGGAGAAGTACTATAAATACTTCTCATACTCCTCTGTAATCTGTAATCTCCTCGATATAGTGAAACTGACTCTCTCTCGCCCGTGGACGTAGCTAACACACATCGTGTTAGTGAACCACGTAAATCGTGTGTGTTTTTCGTATTCTTGCTTTGTCGATTCCGGCGATTTCCCGATCTGTAGCAGCGCGTTTATAACAAAAACATATCAAAATACCAAGCTCAAATGTCGACAAAAAATGTCTTATAATTTTATGATCTTATCTATAGGCTCCAATAATAATTTTACTAAAAATATCTTAAGAGCCTAAAATCTCATTAAATCTCAATTTAAAACTGTGAAAAATATGTAAAATCTACGATTTTAAGATACAGGCTAACCGAAACAAATAAGACCAATCAAATCGGAGTTTGCTTGGAGACCAGGTCAATGATGCGTCGATGCCTCTGGTTTTCTCCATCTTCAACTGACAAGCTCAACTGTCTCCTTCAAGTGCACCATATGCTAATATTTGGTTTTTTTTTTTTTGAAACATAATATTTGGTTCACTGTTATATATTTATACTAAGAAAGAGAAGCTTATTGCTCCAAAAGAATATGAATGACTGTGTGTATGTAACATATAGCTCAAAGTTGATGTGCAGGCAATGTATAAAGGTTGAGAATATATTTGAAGATAAAGATGTCAAAGCGAATGAGGATGATCAAGTGCTCATTGAAGAAAGGAATGTATCAGCCAATGAGTTACATTTGGACGATAATGGTGATAGAGGAAATATTGTTGGTCTTAAAGTATTCCAGGTGATTATGAGGTTGATGATATTGTTTCCCTAACAACTCGACAAGGATTATATGAAGACAATATCAAGGATTATTATTATTATTATTATTATTATTATTATTATTATTATTATTATTATTATTATTATTATTATGCATTGTCGATACTATCTCGTGTTTTAAATGTAAATTTTTACTAGGGTCCTAAAAATCTTACAATTTCGATTTTACATAAAATTGCGATTTCGAGTGACTGGTCACATGTTCAAATATGTACGATCGTGATATTAACTGTTGACTTACGCATATCGAATCACGAACTTCTAAAAACTTTAAACCTATAAAGTATAAACTGATTTTTCGCTTGAAAAAAAATAGTAAAAAAATCGATTCATTAATATCTCTCTCACCAACTTTGTCGCTTGAACAAACTTATTGACAAACTATTGCGCATTCGTATCCTTTGCCTACCATGATGCTTTGCAGGAATCAAGCAATGACATGTACTCTTGGCTTGTAACTGGTAGGCAAGATTTTTCAGCAACAGCGCTCGTTTGTTCAACCAGACAAAGCATCTCCATCACCATCTCTGACACTGGATTAGTGCCATAAACAAGAGCAGTTTGGACTAATTAGACCACAATTTGTTGATTAAACTAACACTAAAAACGAATAATGAATTGAACAAGAATCATGACCACAACGTTTACTAGCAACAGGATAAAGACAACGAGTTACAAATTATTATATGTTGCCCAAAGTACACATTCAAACGTGGCATCCTAATCTCAAGCCTCCTCCCCTGTTTTTGTTTTCTTGCCCTTTTCTTCAGTTGGAGAATTCGTCCTAGCTAGGGGTCCAGTCGAATATCTTCAAAATTATACATTTTAAAATTGACCCAGTTGCCATTTCCAAATGATGATAACAAAGAGTCAAGCACAAGCTTATATTGATGGATCAACTGCAATAAATAATATACAGAACATAAAGTGAAAGTATTAGCTAGTAGGGTAGCCATAGGAGGAACCTGGTCTGCTTTGTTGGGCTCTCTTAAACATGATTTATCAGACGCACTTCTCAGTTAGTCGAGCAAAATGAGGTAAGAAAAAGGCTTTGAGAAGCTATTCAACCATGGTTGCTCTTGTACGTTATGTCATAAAAATCATGATCTGTTGAGAGATATTGATGTATGAGTTTTGACCATTTCCTTAAACGCTCTTTCAGACGAAAGTCAACTTTTGGGCTTGAAGTTTGCACATGCTCGATAATGCCATGTGATTTAAGACAATAATAATATTGGAAGTAGTGAAGATTTGAACACGTGACCCCACAATCAAGCCGATTATGTTACCATGTCAGCTTGGATGTTGACATATCTCATCAACAATGGGCATTCAGTTAATTAAGCAACCAAATTGGTTTAGGGTATTAAATACGATCCCTCTTTTAGTGTCCGAAAAATCGAATCATTTTAAAACCTAAACCGATTGATTAGATTTGTGTGAATCCAAATTTTGACGATCTAACGTATCAATGTGATCGTGATGAGAGTTGTGCTTTTGGGTCTCTAGACATTCTATGTTGTTGAATGGTCCCGTTTTTGCTTGATTTATAGTGTTCTTTCATTCTTTAGAAGAATACGAAAAAATTATCGAAATTAAGGATACACATTTCTTTTGGAGGATGATGATTCTGCCAATTTTGGTTGTTTACATGGGTTTTGTCAAAAAAAGGGTCATGTGACCATGTGGTGCAAAAGTAGTTTAGAGAGATATATGGGTTAGGTTGGCAAGTAATGATTTGGGATATAATGGAGATTTTGAGTAGTGGAGGGGTTGTAATTAGTGTGATGGAGTTTGGGTAGGGACCTGACTTGGCAGCACGCCCACTGGCCACATGGAGATAATGATGGGTGCCTGCGAGGAAACATCTGTGGTCTACGACTACTAGGGTTGGGGAGGAAGCTAAAGCAAGCCTCCTGTTTAAGTAAGTTGGGGAAAACTGAAAAGTATGGTCTTGTAGAATTAAGGTTGTCAAACCAGTTTATACCGGTGTGCCGGTTTTGTAAGTGGAATGGTCTGACCGTGGTACAATAGTATTCATGCTGGTTGTGTCGGTTTTAATAAAATACACGAGGAAAATGGAAATCCTCAATTCCAAATAAATTAATCATGAAAAAGCAATTAGAAGAATTATTTCACATAAAATAATTTATAGCAAAGAATTGATAACTAATACTAAACAATTAGATGCTTATTAAATGAATTTTATTAATATTTATAATGATTTGTGTAAAATTTAGTATTAGATATATAACATATAAGGTTAATATAGACAACAAAATTGCTTGTAGCCTACTGGTGTGTGAGTTAAACTTAAATGAACATGAGGTACTTGTTCAAATCCTATGGAGGATGTTTATTTTTGGATATAATGTGTGTACCACTAAATTCCGGTTTCTGGTCTAACCGACCGGAATTTCCGGATTTGACCTGGTCTGACCGGTATTGACCACAGTTAAATACCGGCCCCTTTCCAGCCGGTTTGCTGACCGGTACCGGTTGAACCGGCCGGCATGAAACCGGTTTGACAACCATGTGTAGAATAAATGCTTGATGGACTTATGCAAGCAACTCTATCCTAAAGAGACCTTCTTGATATTTTACATGTCATTTGATGTGTTTGTGTGAAGACAAACATGCATGATATATATAGATAAAGAATTTGTCAAGCACTTAAATACTTCACTTCTTTCATTGTATTTGTTACTGTGGAAATGAGATAGTTCAATAAAAATAGAAAAGAAAGGTAAAGCAAGAAAAAGGTCTAACACATTTCACTAATGGTTTACATTTGGTATCATCTATCTAGTCTACAAAATTAGCACTTGGAATTTTCTCTTTTGTGCGCATTAGTAAGAAAGAAGAGCATCTTGCCGAATAATAAACTTGATGAGAAGTGAAGCCCAACCACTTACCAAGATAAAATAAAATAAAATAAAATACAATTAAAGGAATTAAGTTATTCTTGATATGATATTGAAGGCTTTGTCGACAATTTGCTTTACAAAAGACTTTCGCCATGTTTTTAAAAGAATAATAAAAGTTTAAATTATAGACATCTTATTTTGGGATTGCTATTCGTCGTCCTAAAAATCCTTATTCATCGCCCTAATTATATTAAATTTACTATGATGTCCTTATTTTTTTTATCAAACACTTATATTCTTAAACAAAACACATACATAGTTACATACGTCCACCAGCCGCCGGAGCCGGAGGAAACATTTTTGGAAACCCACACCCAACATCTCCATTTGAGGAGTTTACTGTTGAATCGCCGCCGTGCCATCTCATCGCCCGCTGGATGTCCTGGATAATACGGGCGAAGATCAAGGGAAGTTCGAGTAAGTGTTGCAGGAGAGAAACGGTGGGGCCAAGGTGTTTGATCAATGGTCTCGAACTCTCAATGAAGGTAAGTAGGTTGGTGTATCAAAATTCAAAATGGTCTTTTATTTTATTAAAAGGAGCCGGCTTTTGCATTCCTCTGAATTTTGATAGGCGATAGCTTGGGGATTTGGATTTCTTTTCTTTTTGTCCAGTGGGTTGCAGGAACAAGACTTGTTTCACCGCCCGCGACGAAAACGAGTTGGACAGGTTCAATACGACGCAGGTGGAATACAACATGGCGGGGAGCGAATCTGGCAGCAGGACAGCGTGGCGGGAGAAGTTATCGGTTCGGCGGTGGAGAGCAGTTCTGGGGTGGACGACAACTGATTTTGAGAGTCGGGTTTGGGGTTGGAGACGGATTGTTGCTAGGTTTTAGTTTATGTTTGAAGTTAGGGGTATAAGTGTCAATTTAGTGTGGTTTAGGGCGATTTATTTTGAATTTTAGGGCGACAAATAGCGATTCAGCTTATTTTCTATGTTAGAATAACATCAGTTATTCTTATAGGTAAATTGCAAGTTTGGTTACTAAAAGTGCTAAAAAATTCACGTTTGGTCACTAAATTTTTTTATTCCATTTGTGATCATTGAAAGTGGTTAAATATTTCAAGTTTGGTCACTCTTCGTCCACTTCCGTT